TAATATATATATATATATATTTTATTTTTTAGCTTTGAAAGCTAACTATGCTTTTAGACAAAAATGAAAACAAAAAGTATAAATTTTTTTAGTCGGAACATCATTCGAAAAATTAAGTCAAACGGAACCTTACTCAAAGTTTATAATAATAATAATAATAATAATAATAATAATAATAATAATAAGAAGAAGAAGAAGAAGAAGGTGAAATGGCTCATAACCGTCTGTTGTTTCGAAATTCAATGTAAAATCTCTCTTTACTTTAAAAATTACATACGACTCCCTTATACTTTAAAAAACGTTCATAAAACCCTATCACCATAAAACTTCCCTTGTGTTATGAGGAAATGATTTTCTATCTATATATTTTGCATGGTGGGAGGTTTCATGGAACAATTTAAAGTATAAGGGGGCACCATGTAATTTTTAAAGTAAAAATGGGGATTTATACTAAGTTTCGAAATCATAAAAGAGTTTTATGCAATATTTTTTAAAATATAAGAGGGCGTTACACAATTTTTAAAGTAAATGGGGGATTTACGCTGAGTTTCGAAACCACACGAGAGTTATGGGCAATTTTTCCTAATAATAATAGCTAAATTATACAACACCTCCTTGTGTTTTAGTACAAATGCACAAAACACCATGTGTTTTATTTATTGCGTGAAACTCCCTTGTGTTAATGTAAAGTTTGCACAGAATACCCTCTTTGTCCAAAATTGATATTTGGTTCTAAATAAAGACATAAATTACATAAGTTTTATAAAAATAAAAAACATAAAATATCTTACATAAATTTTTTGAATAAAATAAATAAAAAATAATTGAATAATCATTCATATTATAGTTTTTGGAGACAGATTGTTATCTGATTTTTACAAATACTATAAAAATAAATGATTGATAAATTATTTATATAGTTATTTTATTCAAAAAATTATTTAAAAAATATTTTATATTTTTTTTTGGTATAAAACTTGCGTGATTTAGTTCTTTATTTAGAAACAAATATCTATTTTAGACAAAGAGGGTGTTTCGTGCAAACTTTACATTAACACAAAGTGATTTCACGCAATATATAAAATACAGTTTTATCCATTTTTAATAAAACACAAGGAGTTGTTATATGATTTACCCATTAAATATTGTTAATCTTTATTAAGTGGAATTAAAGTATGTTAAATTATTTGTTATGTTCTTCCAGGACTATTTTTTAAGGATTTTTTTAGTCCCGTAACTGGACCCATTTATCATTTTAGTCCTGTAAGTGGACCATGTCGCAAACTAGTCCCATAAGTGAAAAAATTTCGCTGTTTTAATCCTCCGGCGCCGAAGACGCCCGCGTGGCTCGCCGGAGGTGACGTGTCCGCCAGGTGTCCCGCCAGGTCAGCGACACCTGGCGGACAGGTGGATTTTTTTTTTCATTTTTTTTTAATTTTTTTTTAATTAGACCAAATAAAAAAAATAAAAAAATACAAATAAAATTAAAAATAAGTTTTAAAAAAAATAAAAAAATGAAAAAAAAAACCCACGTGTTCGCCAGCTCAACGACACCTGGCGGACACGTCACCTCTGGCGAGCCATGCGGGCATCTCCGGCGCCGGAGGACTAAAACAACGAAAAATTTTAACTTATGGGACTAGTTTGCGACAGACTCCACTTACGGAACTAAAATGATAAGGGGGTCCAGTTACGAGACTAAAAAAACAGTTTACCAATTTTTTAATTGCGGTTCCCCAAAAATTATAATAATAAATACAAAATATCATATACAAAAGTGATAAAGTAAAAAAAAACTTCAAATATTCATTATAAAAATTAAAAAGTATTGTCGCTCAAAATATTTTTCAGCTTATCTGAGCGAGCCTGTCGAAAATCAGGTGGATTCTTCGGCTTCCTCCAAAAAGGATCCAAAACCGTATTCGTAAAAGTAATAAATCAGAAAAGAAGAAAATGGAACAAAGATAAAAGAGAAGAAAGAAAGAAAATAAAAGGAAGATGGATAAGAAATTAAAGAAAGCAAAAGAAGATAAAAGCAAGAATGAGAGTAAATTCTAAGGAAGAGAAATAAATTGCATAAAAATTAAAGTTTATGTGGGAAAAGAGAGAGGTGTGAACGAGGGGTCTTTACCTCTATTTATACTACTACCTACCAAATCTATATTTGTCTAAAATTCTATTTTATCCAATTTATTAATATCTTAGTAGATTATTCAAAATCAAATATTATTTTATCCCAAATAATATTTTGAAATAACAAAATGTCCCCCACAAAAGTGTCGATCTAGCAAAAATACGAATTTTACTTGATCAATACTTTTGTAACTGAATCTGGTCGATTTTCATATGGACAAATGATACTCTTCCCACGAACTGTTCCTAAGGCCGCCATGGTCCGACCGGCGTGTTGTTACCGATCTCCATTGTCTTTTGCCGTCGACTTTTTTATCATCGAAGCTCGCCAATCATCATTTCAAGCTTCTTGTTTGCAGTGTCGAATGGACTACCTTCATAAGTGCTGCAAATGGTCATCAAAGCTCCAAGACTTGACAACCACATCGTCGATATTGACCTCCATAATTTTGCTCATTTTTAGGAGTTACGAAGTTAAGATTCTTGAGACCAATGTACATGAGCAATCTCATTCTTTTTCATCACTAGAACGGCGTTGGAAATCCACTTTGGGTAGCGGCAAGTGCGTATGAAGTTAGCTCGTAACAACCTCTCTATTTCTTCCTTAATTTTTTAGAGGATGTCTTGATTAAACCTCCTCTGAGGCTGCTTGTGAGGTATGAAATTAGGCTTTGCCGACCATCGATCTTTGACAAGGTTTCAGGTCAAACTGGGTATTTTGTCATCTTTTAAATCAATAGGTCTTGTTAGCAGGGACTGATCCTCCCCAAAGTCATATATTTTTGCCTCATTACCAAGCAGAGATGTTCGAGCCAACTCAAGAATCAATTCCATCATAAATCTCCTCGTTTTCAGGCTGTGACTCGGCCTTAGAGTAAACCTTGAAACCTCTCGAGGTCAAGTTGCATTCTTCTCATAATTCAGCTCTTTGTAACATCATGGACAAAGGAAATACTTGTAGAGAATAGAAAATCACTTCTAACGCATGTACTTCTGTCAAAGGATCGGACTCCGCTTCCACAACTTTGACACGATTTTCTTTCCAAAACATTGCGCATTGGTGCAAAGTCGATTGAACGGACTGAGAAGTATAAATCCAATCTCGTCCAAGGATCGCTGAATAGGTAGACTTTCCTTCAATAACAAAGAAATCCATCGAATGTTTCCATGATCCTACAGAAACTTTAGCAATCAAAACCTTGGCGGCTTTGTGCGCATTGCCGGTGAAATCGGTAGTGCGCATTCCATTTGGTACTAAGTCGTTGCAATTCTTTCCAATCTTTCAAAATATTGATAATTTTATTATGTTAACTAATACCCCACCATCAGCTAACACCTTTTTGATCCGATGCCTATCAAACGCTATTGTGAGAAATAAAGGCTTTAAATGATGTGTTTCATTCTCCATCGGTTTCTGAAAAATTATGGATCCAGATGGAGCAATTTCTCTTGGATTTTCTTCATTTATCCACATAATAGGGCTATCATTTTCTACCCAAATATCTCATTCTAATGTTTGGGCTGATCATTGAGGAGTGGCAAATTCGGCGGGTCAAAAACCGATAGCATTTATTGCAAATTTATTTTAGGATTGAAGTGCACGGTAAAAATCTTCATCTAAAACAATGACATCAAAACTTGGTTCAAAAAAACTATCTTCATCATAGATATCGTCTCTTGATTCTTCCTTGGGCTCCTTCAAATTGAACGTAATTATTGGCGCTTTATCCTTGTCTTTATTCGTCGTGGCTTGCGAAGTGCTTGCTTTAGCTTGGTGGGTTGGTCCCCATTCCTTGCGATCATTTAAAGTCAAATGAGGGTCATTAGAGACTATTTTCGTATGAATGACGAGCTGCGAATCAGCGTCATCCGTAACAATTTGTGCATCGCTGCTCTGCTGCTTCGGCCTCCATTATTTTCGGCTATTTAAGCGATGCCGAAGATTCTACAAAAAAAAAATTACAAATTACTACGGTAACATTCCGTCACAATTGACAAAATCTCTGTCACAACTTTCAATTACAATGGAATTTGCATCCAAGTGGGAGTTGTAGTAAAAATTATTGTAGTAATTTAAAGTGACAACTAAGATTTTCAGAAAATTGCAACAAAAGTAGTGACTGTTATTTCCATCACAACATTTTGCTACAGAATTTTACTACAAAAAATGTGTTACTAATATATTGCATTGCAAGAGAAAAGAACTGTTGTTGATTCCGTTGCTATTTTTGTTGTGAGGGAATATAACTATGGTTACTTCCATCGCAATTTCTAAAGTAAACCACCTATGCAATTTGTTTTTTCTCGTCTTTTGCCAATTTTTCCAAAATTATTGTAGTAATTTAAAGTGACAACTAAGATTTTCCGTTGCAGAAAATTGCAACAGAAGTAGTGACTGTTATTTCCGTCACAACATTTTGCTACAGAATTTTACTACAAAAAATGTGTTATTAATATATTGCATTGCAAGAGAAAAGAACTGTTGTTGATTCCGTTGCTATTTTTGTTGTGAGGGAATATAACTATGGTTACTTCCATCGCAATTTCTAAAGTAAACCACCTATGCAATTTGTTTTTTCTCGTTTTTTGCCAATTTTTCCAAAACCTATATAAAAAAATATTAATTCAATTCTCCATAATCAATCCAATTATTAATTCGATTAATATCTATTGTCAAATATACGATAATTTATTGAAATTATATAAAATTTTCAAACCTAAATAGTGTTTAATAGACCACAAACACAATAACTTTTAGTATCAGTACTGCAACTAGCAAATATAAGAAATATGTACAAATTTATTTCTAATTACCATAATAACATACAAAAACAACTAAAGTCGTAATTAAGAAAACATATAATAGTGAAATATCATGATACCGGAGCACTACCACCATCTGAATCGGGGTCGGGCCTATGAATAGATGATGCTTCAATACGTTGTAATTACTCCATAATGGTCAAGTTCAATTTGTATATGGCTCTTTTTTTATTCTCCATATTTGTAACGCGTTGTTGCATTATTTCCCAATGACTACATCCCTCACCAAGCTTTGTCCGCAACTCACTTAGGTCACACTCCATCTTTGTCAATCGTTCTTCAAGGATGAATGTCACTGGAGTACGACCATCGTTGCAGAAGGATGATGGTCGAGGAGGAACAGTCTCCACTAGTGATCCCAGCCCATATATACGATTTTTTTGTCACGTCGTACTACAGTGAGAAATACGTTATCCAGATCATATGATGTATTTCCTTATTGAGTCATTTGTGCTTCAACGGCATCCACCTCACTCTGAAAATAATTTAGGTGAACACCATGTTAGTTTTCCAAAAAAAAAAAAAAGAAAAATCATTGATACAAACTAATGATAATAATATGACAATGCATATGATTACAACAATAAAATTCACAAACTTCAATAAATGCCCGGAAGAAGGCAGCCAAATCCAATTGAAGTCAATATTTCAATAAATCTATAAATTTCATTGCCTTATCAAAATTCTTAGATCATGAGTCTAATCAACCAATACAAAACAAAATGCTTGCTCTTGAAGTATATTGAGATCAATGATTACTCTTCGTGTTCATTAATTTACAATACTAAAGAAAAATTCACATAAAGTACATGTCCAATTTAACCAAAAAATAATATATTCAATACCAAAACTACAAACATAATAATAATACCAACTTAAACCACCAACCAACTTGAGGATGAATAATAAATCTATCCCAACAAACATAATAATAACACCAAATAAAATTTAAGTCATCATAAGAATTCCATTGAAATTCATCAACAACTTCATAATAAAGAATGCATGACAACAAGAACCTCAAAATGAACTTGTCTAAAAATATAATAAGTTCATTATCGAACAAAATTTAAGCGATAAAATATTTATATTTAGAATAAGTTATGAAAACAATAATGGAAATCAACTCACAACTACTTTAGTTGCTTTCGCGTTAATGAATGTGATGCAATTAAGTTCTTTAGAATGAACCCACTTATAGGTACAAACCTTATTCATCCACTGAATATTTGCAAACAATTAATAAAATCAATAATTAAATCTAAAAGATATTAATCAATGTTAATAACTAAATAAAGAAATACCAGCTTTTGCGCTGACTCCATAAAAGATCGTGAGCCACCAGTGTGCGTCGACTTAGCACGACCAGTCATATTCCCACGATGCCTATTATTTTTTGTTGTATCTGATTTATGTTTTGCATCATCAGATCACCAAATTTTCCGCCACTCAACCATTATTGTCTCATCAATTTGCTCATCCGGATTTGTCCCCCGGCCAGATCTAATATCATACATCCAATTACCATATGCAGCGCGAGCCTTGGATTTCAACTTCTCCTTAACTTGACCATCCACTGAAGAGTCTCAAACAACATATTTATGTATTTTAATGTTAGATGCAAATGCTTTAATATCCTCATGTAATAAAGTACAACCCATATATTATTTAAAAATTATACTTACATACCTTAAATTTTTTCCAATACCATTCCTTTATGATTGCTGGAACCTTATTCCAAGTGATTCCAGCCTCATCAACATTAGATCGAAACACTTGACAGAATTTTCTAGTAACCTTACGTGGCCAAAATAGGCTGAAATATTAATCATATTAAAATTATAAGAATAATTTTTAAACAAATATTCATTCCATTCAAATAATCTCAAACATGCCATCATCCTAAACGATGATCGAAGACCGGGCCCCAGTAGTGGATGAAGCTGGAGGCGGAGCTGAACCTAAAATGAATATATAAATAATTAATATCAAGAATTAATAAATTATATTAATGATATTTAGTACTTAAGAGAAGTTCCTGCATCTATGGAAACTGAATCAGGTACCTCTGACAGTGAGCCTACAATATATATATATATATAACATATTTAGGATTTTGATGGAAAAAAAAAAAGTAAATAAAATCAGGTGAGTTCTACAATATAATACACACTTATGACCTTAATAGAAATAAATAAATAAATAAATATGATCCTATCTAAATACCTGGGTCATCATCTGGATGCGCAAGTGCATCATCACAACGCTCACCCTGACCCTCTTGGGCTCTAACAAGTAGAAGGGCCTCATCAATATCCTTTGCATCTGATCCCAAGAGCGATCTCGAGACATCTATATTGTAAATGCATAAATGAATAAGTCTCGATAGGATTACAAAAAAATAAATAAAAAAAATATAGAATAGTATGTATACCAATTATTTAAAATATTTCATTTCTCACTATGTATTAGAATCTTCTTCATCAGTTGACAACTCAAATAATAATGTTTCATCCTCGTTGGTTTCCATATACACCTCTTCATCATCCGAATATCAAATACAACCAATGGGATTCCACTATCACCATCAACATCCACCAGATTGAAACCCTCTGCAATACTAACCACTTCAATGCTTCATGTCTGTACTGTGGGGTCTTGATAAGTTTAATGTTCAATCATCATCTTTTTATCCCCCTCTTTTATTTCAATCCAATCGTGAGGCTTAACTCTACAAACTGCAACCCAATCATCTTTGTCTCTTTTTGTGCTTGGGAACGAGATGTAGGATACTTGTGATGCTTGCATTGCCAAAATAAATGGCTCATATGTTTGGAGGTGCTTCATTTTGTTGATCTCTACTATGTTATATTTCTCATATTTTTTTGTACCCACACCTATTGTAGGATCATACCAATTACATTTAAAAACAACACACCGTTTAATCGGGAGTGACGGGAACTCTATTTCCAAAATTTCTTCAATCTTTCCATAATATTCGAGTCCACCACCTTCTATGGATACTCCACTATTGTAAGTTTCTCTTGTGGAACCACGATTCTCATTATGGAAATAATATCCATTTACGAAGCAGATAGTGTAAGTGTCAACTTTCATCAATGGACCATGCACAATGTCTCTAAATATACAATCAAGCTCTTCGTTTTGTGATGCCTACATCAATAGGTATTTTCAAAGTGACAGTTAAAAAAGAGTTATGTTAAATTATTCATAACCTAAAATATTATGATAACACTTACATATTTAGCAAACCACGAAACAAAGTTATCTTGAAGTTGAACACCTAATTGTGCATCGGTAATTTGTGGGTTTTCTGCCCTCAAAATCTCTTCAAATTTCCTGCCAAAACTATTTTTGTTAATATCTCCAAATAAATTAAATGACTTATAAATTTGACTCACACAATAAAAGGTTTAACTTCAGGAATATTTAACAGAAAATATTTATGAATCGCTTTTCTCTCCACCATGTTTAGAAATTGCGTCTTTCTTTTTCCTTGTAAACGAACGGGATGGTTAAATGCAGAAATTTTGGTCAATCGATTGAATATAGGTTCTCCATCATCTTGCCTCGGTACATTCCCAGTCCGTGTCAGTACGTGTTGCTCAAAGTACTACAAGCAGAAAAAAGATACCTCACGTACTAAGAAGGCATTGCATATGGAACCTTCAACTTGTGCTTTATTCTTTACCATCAGTTTTAAGCGATTTAGAAACCTACAATTGGAAAATTATTAAGAAGGTAGTTCCATCCAACTGTTATTGAAAATTTAAAAATATCTATCAAAGTGATACATCCAACGAAATTGGACGGGGCCACCGACATGAGCTTCATATGATAAATGGATTGGAAAATGTTCCATGCTATCAAAGAAGCCAGGGACAAAAATAGTCTCTAATTTGCACAGGATAATTGCAATCTCATTTTCCAGTTTATCCATATCGCTTACTGTAATCACCTTCGATGTCATCTGTCAAAAGAAGTTGCTCAATTCAGTCAATGCTTCCCATATATTTTTAGGCAACAACTCACGGAACCCAATACAAATAAGTCCTTACATAAAAACATGACAATCGTGGATTTTCATGCCAAACATACTAAGCTTCTTCATATTTATGCATCTACCCAAGTTTGACATGTATCCATCAAGCATCTTTAACTTCTCAACCCAATTTAAGAACTCCTTCCGACGGACTTTGTCCAAAGTGTACGCCGCATTAGGATAGCACTGTCAGACCGCATCATACTCAAATTCTTTTCTATCACAAAAATTTTCATATCTGTCCGCGCTTTTGCATTTTTTTTCCCTTAACATCCATAATTGTATTAAAAATATTTTCGAATACATTCTTCTCAATATGCATCATATCGAGATTGTGTCGAATGAGCAAGTGTTTCCAATATAGGATGTCCCAAAAAATACTCTTCTTGCGCCATCCACATTCTTTGCATAAATTCTTGTTTGTTTCATTTGCATCTTTCTCAATAACCTTTACACAAATTAAAATATGTACTTTAATATGCAAAAAAAATTATGAAAGTATTTATGCAAATGAATGTGTTATGATGAAATTTATTTCACCTTTCTAAAGCTACAACTTTCAAGTTCACGAATCTGCTCAACTCCAGTTCTTTGATGAGGTGGCGGCCTGAAATCAATTAGCCCATTTTTTAACTTCTTTTCGTCACGTCAATATGGATGGTCTTCGGGCAAAAACTGTCGATGTGTATCAAACCAAGACTGTTTAGAACCGGTAGGCAGTTGAAATGATTTAAGTTGATCCTGACAAACTGGGCAAGCTGTTTTCCTCAATGTTCCCCACCCAGACATCATCGCATATGCCAGTAGATTACCAATCGTCCACATTAAGGCAACCTTCATATTAAAATTTTGTTTACTTGAAGCATCCCAAGTTTCAACACCAACATTCCAAAGAGTTTTCTACTCATCTATCAATGGCTGAAGATACACATCTATTTTTTGTTTCGAATTAGCACCACCCGGTACAACAAGTGAAAGAAATAGATATTCAAAACACATATTAGGAGGAAGATTATAGGGAGTAATCACAACCGGCTTGGATGAATATTTTTTCCCCGATTGCCCAAATGGTTGGAACCCATCTGGGCAAAGTCCCAACCTCACATTTCTAGTCTCAGAGGCGAATGAAGGATTTGTCACATCAAAATGTTTCCATGTCGCAGAATCACAAGGATGTCACATATCATCCAAACTAGCGTGTCGTTGAGTCGCATGCCACCGCATTAAAGAAGTTGTTAGAGCAGAAATACATAACCGTTTAAGCCTTGGTGTCAATGGAAATTAAAATATTTTTTCTGTGGACTTCCGGAAATCTGTTTCATGAATGATACAATTTAGTTTATTTTAGTTTTTTCTATAGAGGACTGGGGCGGGAAATTTCTTGTAATAAGTCTCCCAATCAACAATGGCTTTGATCTTCCCCGCCTCCATCTTGGAAAGCCAAACCAAAATCTTTTCCTTTTTAAAGATTTAATGAGTTGAGGAATCATTACCGCAAGGCATAGAGGGGGAGGTCATAAGCGTCTATACCGTCAAATTGTATAACGAATGGGTAAGCATTTTCCATTTTTCTTTTTTATCGAGGCTTTCCTCATATTTTTCAATTATGTAGACCAACATCATCCCGCTAGTACAACATACATCCAAATTGACAATAATCGATTTTCTCAATGGGGAGACCTAATCCCTCGATCAACTTTTTTGTTTCACAAAATTTATTAACAAAGCAATTATCCTCTGGCATTAATATGAATTTTGGCTTTGTTTGTTATTATTTGAAGAAATGTTGTAGTAGTAATATATTTCACTTCTTTATGTTTGATTGTGTTCAATTCGTTTGTAAGGAATTTGATTAGCCAATTGAAGCCGCTTGTGTATAAATGAACCTGTAAAAATACAGCTTATGTATAAAAGAAGTCGTGCAAGCATGTAATTTGTGTATGCTTGAGAAAGTTGTGTAATTGAATAGCTTGTATATATAAAGGAACCAATGCATGGTGTGCAATGATAGAATTTCTGTATATATGAACCTATGCAAAAATGTAAATAAGTAACCACAATTAGACAACAATTGATAAACTTGTGTGCATTGCCAAGAAGAAATAAAATTTTACTTAAAAGCACATCACATAAACAAATCCCAACACCTAGATCCCCAAAGATTTCAACTTGCACACCATATTGAAAAACCAACAATCCATCACATTCTCCAAAAACAAATCCCAAGGCCTAAGGACATACGGTTTCAATCATTTGACTCACAAGAAATCTTAACACCTAATTCCCAGGAATTTTCAAACATATTGATTCACAAGATCAAATGCAAATTAAGGCCAATAAATTTTCGTTAGGCGCTTGGAGTCTCTACTTCTTCTTTTTGGTGGGTTTATCTTACTTTCTTGGATTGATTCTCTTTTTAGCATTTGAGGCACCTTCTATTGTTATTTTTTATGTTGGTTGGATGTGTGCTTCGATTGGTGCTACGACTTTTGTGTTGCCACCATCTACTCTACTGGAAACACACAATTGAAGGCTGGATAAAGTGATGAATGTGTTTCCTCCTTTAACAATAACAAGTGTACGAATGATGTTGGACGTCGAAGGCATCTACAACGAAATAGAGTTCAGTCAGTACATCGAGTTGTAATAAAAATTGCATATAACGAAAATGAAAATGTTACTTGAATTGAGGCCATTTTTTTCCTTAGACCGATGGTTTTTTCTTTTGAACGAGCAGTAGTGGTAGCCTATAAACAAAAAAAATGAACAAGACAGTTCACTTGTGAAATGAAAGTGAATGTAAGTTCTACAATACATTGTTGTCTGAATTGATGTTATTTTTTTCCTTTGACTACTGCATGATCTTGCTGTTGATGGAGCATCAGCAAGGTCCTGTAAACATTGAAACCAAAAAAGATAATTTATCAAGTGAAATGGAATTGAATTTAAGTTTTATAAAGCATACCTTTGGGAGATAATCCGACTACCTAGGCATTGGCTGAGAGGATGTCTTAGAGCACCGTGTGTTCTGGGCATCTCATCTCATATCCTCATTTTAAGCACTTTCCACTAGCTCACTATTCGAAGGTAATTTTGGGCAAGTGTTGGAGTTATGCCCAAAACCTTGACAGGTTTTGCACCTGATTTCTCTAGGTCCACCTTTAAGTCTATATGGATTTTTTAACTTTTGATGGGGTTCATTTGGTTCCATGCGTCTCATGGTTACTGGCCTCCTAACATTTTTATTTTCAATTAGTGGGAGAGGTGCTTCCTTGGGTGTTTTTTCCCATAGCATTTGTGGACATAAGTCAATGAATCTTCTCCTTTACACCAAATTGCGGTTATTGCATGCTTACAAGGGACGCCTGTTAAGTCCCATTTTCGGCAACTACATGTTCTCTCCCTCACAATAACTGTATATTGGTCAAAAGATCCAGTAATTTGAAAATTTCAATAATCACTTCTCATTGGAATGAATTAAGAAGCCTCTTCCATCTTTTTTTTTCATTATTTTCATTATTTTCGGACAAAGTAAATCATCCCATTTTTCAATTTTCTCCCGATTCAGTAGCATCCTCACTATCAACAAGTTTCGAATATTCTTTAACATGGAAATAATTGGCTTATCTCTCACTTCCATAATAAAACTATTGAAAAACACATATTGTTAAAAAATATGTCGCATCTAGGATACACACTAAAGTGTGACCTAGACCAATGATTCGGGCTCTTATTTACTAACCAATTAAACACATCTTCTAAAACCTTTTTTTATTTCCTCAATTCTTCATTTAAATTCCGGAATTGTTGTAGCTTTAGCTGCTGCCCATAAAAGCCTCTTCAGTACAATGTCTGTATGACCATCACGTTTCAAATTTGTATATAAATGTCTCACACATAAGCGATTCTCAGCTTGGGGCAGAATGGATTCGAAAGTAGGAATCAATCCCTTTTGATTATCACTCATGAACATCCAATTATGTCAATCTTCAATATCCAAATCCCTCTTCAACCGCTCCAAGAACTACAACCAACTGTCCTTGTTCTCAGCCTCAACCACAGCGTATGCTATAGGAAAAATATTGTTGTTCACATCAATACCCACAGAACCTAACAATTGCCCTCCAAAGCTATCCTTAAGCCAACAACCATCAACACCTACCACCGGCCTACATCTTTCAAGAAACACTCTCTTGCATGCAGAAAAACAAACATATATCCTCTGAAACCTTTATAATCCAAATTCTTCATCATCTATAAGTTTCAAAGAGATAGAAGTGTCTGGATTACATCTCTCAATCTCATTACAATAATCCCACAGCAGGCCATACTGCTCCACATTAGACCCGTGCAACAAATCTAAAGCTTTCCTCCTAGCTCTATATGCCTTCGACATTGAGACCTTGTACCACAATGTTCTACATATTTCATCCTTAAAAGCTCCAAGATCCAACTTCGGATTCTCCTTCAAATTTTTTCATAAATGTCTTCCCAATCCAGGAAGACTTAGTACTTGGATTATCATAAGTCCATCCACATTTTCTATGAAGTTCATTCATGCTAGGCAACTGTCATGCTTTCTCACTCTACACCTTAGATACGAGCGCAAACCACTCACACCCTTGTTTCTTGCATGCTCTCAATATACTTTTGTCAATCTTTGCAAAATTTCACACCTATCCCCCTCCTAAAACAATGGCTTTCAATGAAAAACTTAGTCTCAGCCCTCGACTTAAACAACAACCCCAATTTCAGCTCCGGATTTTCACAATCTGTGTTTGAATTATATATTTCAAACTATCTTGTCCCCTCCTTTTCACTACCATCACTTCCCATCCCACTATTTAACTCACTATCACTACCCATGACATCTGTCTCACCATCTTCCTTTTGTAAAGTGTTCAAAATATCTTCAGCAATTGTGGAATCATCCAAAATAAATTTTTCTTTCATCCTACCTTCAATGTAACTCAACTTCATTATCCGAATCATCAAAATCAGAATAATTTTCTTCCATTTCACCTTCTACACCATCACCAGCCCAAGGAACTTCATTACCTAAATACTCTGTTCCACTAATTACATTGGACTGAGGATCTTGGCTAAGCCCGGTATCCAGATGTTCTAAGTATATTTCGAGTTTATAATTATCTGGAATATGTTTTGCCATCCACAAACTATCTCTATCACTTTCCAAACACTTTCATTGTTTATCAAAGTTGTTATCGTACTTCATCCAAAACCTAACACTATTCGTTTCTTTATATCTCAATCCTTTTGCATATCCCCACATTCACAACATACTTAATTTATCCATATCAACAAAATCAAAATAATCATGTTCTCCCCTTAAATATCCCCTACGGGGCCTATGCCTCATCACCCCGCCAAAATAAATTTTCAAGGTGGCAGACATATCTTCATTGAACATCGTCCCTACATTTGAGTAAGACTAAGTGTTTCACATAATGTAATATATTCATTCTAACAAATAGGAAAAAAGACATAAATCAACACCTAACCACAATCTTATTTTCTTGACATAATTAACTTCTTAACAAATGTTATCGAAATTGCATTTAGTCCGTCGAACTGACACAATGTAATCATTTCTTTACATCATTTTATAGAAATTAAAGCCTTTCAAAGATGAAATCAAATAAATACAACAACAATCCTAACGCAGAGTGAAAAAATTCATATTACATTAACCTTAAGCATATTTCAGAGTAAGAGCTTTGAACTTACTGTAATTTGGGGTGAAATCAAGAGCGTGTTTGCTTCTACGAGCCATTGTCAACTACACATTGGAATCTACGCCTCTACGACGGAATTAGAAAAGCAAACTCGTGAACTAACTCCGTCTTCAATCCAGCTCGATTAAGGATGGCGATAATCGATGGGAGTTAGGGCTTTGCGATTCTTAATAGGGACGGTGTTTCGGTGGGGAAAATAGAATGGCGATGATCAATGATAGCTAGGGCTTTGCGACTGGATTGATGAATGGGAGAAGGGGATTGATATGGGGAAAATAGGGATGGGTGAACCGGCCTAAGCCGAACCTGTTTAAACTGAACCGGGTCGATGGAGAACCGGATCTAAGGCGAACCGGTTCAGGATTATCGATGGTCATATGGGTAGCACATGATTACTCTGTCAACGACGTTATTTAATTATCCTTAATTTGGGTCTAATTGACGTTTAGACTTAATTTTGCGCTGATTAGTAAAACAAGAGAACATTATTTATGAAATTAATTTTATAGGGGCACAAATTATAAAAATGGACAAATATAGGGATACAAATTACGAATACCCCATGATTTTATCATTAATTGTGCTCAAAACCATAAGAACATCTAAATTTTCAACCTACACGAGAATGCTTGGTGATATACCTTTGCTCCGCCATTTGTTATTATTCAAAAAATACAATTGGAGAACACACTAAATTATTTAAATGAATAAATACCAAGACCGAATCAATTTTAGTAATAGCAGAGAAGTAAATTAAAATAGAAAACAGATAGTTGCTACTAAACAAAGACCTTTTGTTCTGTTTCTATGCATATGAATTCATTCAAGAATATATTAAAATATTAGACATGTTATGGTAGCAACGACAATATGACATAAATATTAAAAAATTACCACGCGGTAATAGAGTTGACTCGGTCGGACATACTCCCAAAGTCAACTCTCCTCCTGCACCACTATTTATTTTTCACCTTAGGTGGAGCCAGGGGCTAGGGCTAGGGCTAGGTTTAACGTATGTGGCTGCTGATGGGAAGGGTAAACAGCCAATCTCCGGCGGCGGTGGCGGTGGCGCTGAAGCACTTTAGCCATCCTCACGAGCTTCTCCCCGTCGACGTCGCCTCTCCCAGGCACAGCCTCTGCTCCGGCTGCGGCCTCCAGTCCAGCGCAACCATGTACGCCTGCTTGCCCTGCAACTTCGCCCTCCACCAATCCTGCGCCAAGCTCCCCCGCCGCATCACCCACCCCTGCCACCGCGGCTGCACCCTCTCCCTCCACACCACCCCTCCCTACGAAGGCGGCGCCTTCAGCTGCGACGCCTGCAGCCTCCAGGGGGACGCGTGGAGCTACCACTGCGCCGGGTGCGAGTACGACCTCCACGTGACGTGCGCGTGCAAGCCGCTGGAGGCGAGGCACCCGGCGCACGCCTCCTGCCAGCTCAGCCTCACTTTTAAGAACCCCTACGCCGACACCGCAGGATTCTCGTGCGACGTCTGCCGCCGGATCGGGAGCAAGCAGTGGCTCTACCGCTGCGACTCGTGCCAGTTCGACGTGCATTTGGACTGTATTAGCGCCGCCGCCGCGGCGCTGCAGCACCAGCACTCCCTGCCGGCGGGTCCACTGTATCCTCCTCCTCATCCTCCTCCTCAGCTGCCACACAGCGCAAGTACTGGCGGCGGAGGAATAAATAATCCGGGTGGAATGGGAATGGGAATGGGAAGCAATTTGATGATGGCGGCAATGCAGGGATTCGTGGAGGGCGCGTTTCAGGGGATCGGGGAGACTATTGTGCAAGATGTGATCACGCAGGCCGGCGGCGGATCGGAAGGTGCCTTTGCTATGGACGCCGGTGGGGAAAGTTATGCGTCTGGCGGGTATTAATTATTCTCATATGTTCATATTTGCAGCTAAAATTCATTTACCATATATATCTTGGTTTGATTGAAACTTGGGTAATAATGTAATGCATACCTTTTGGTTTGATTTTATTTATCGCTCATAATATGTACTATCAATAATGTATATGCATTCCCGTTCCATTAAATCTAATGAAAATTGAAAGCCACGGGTGTATATAGGGTAAACTTAAGTGGACGGGTTCTATGGTCAATTAAGACCATGTCTCAAAAAAATTTAAAATGACTTCTTTTATTCTCTTTATTTTTTTTTTTTTTGTCATACTTTTCCTACTTCATCATTGGAAAAACCGACTTTATTTTTCATCTATATCAAAAAAATTTATTTAGACAAATTTTAATTTATTTTTTCTCTACATATTTAAATTATTTATTTTTAAAGTAATTACAATAATAATTGTTCTTATTTAATATAAAAATTTATTAATATTTTTTTCATATTTTTGAAAATTATCGTATAAATTATAAGATATAAATAAAATTTTGGCCAATAATTTAAATGAGGCCTTAAATCCAAAATCACAAATATGTGTATTTAGACTGTATTCTTATTCAACCCACGTACCTGATCCATTACTCTTTTGAGATCAAATAATAGCCGTCCAATCTGGATCTTTTAATTCGAGCCATTAGATTTCAAACCCTAAATTGAGATATACATATAGATATATATATATGTATATTGTTAGGATTATGATGCCCTAACAAATATTTGCAAAACTTTAACAATGACAAAAATAAGAACGAGAAATTTAAAGGACACAAGGATATACGTGGTTCGGTTAAGATGACCTACATCCACGGGCAAAGGCGGAGCAATTGTTCACTGTCAAAAAAGAATATAAAATATACTCGAATAACCATTTTAAAGCCCACAACTCTCAATATCCCAAAATACACTCAAGGCAAAATAAGTAACCCACAAATATATATGGAAAGACTACTTGTCTAATTTTGATGTGTCTAAAACCCAACCCAAAGCTACAAATTTATAGAGAGGGTTATGGTTAATTTGTCACCACAAGCAATGTGGGACAAAAAATTTCTTTCAACTTTAAAATACTCCAATGTGGGACAAAACCACATAACAAATTTTCACCTTGGCGTGTCCAACATTGACAAAATAGTGAGCTTGCTCCACAAAAGCCCCATCGGGCTAAATCACGAACACTGAATTCCAATCCAACTCAAGCACTGTTTGAACTTGAGGACTGAGGACTGGAAGAGATTTTGTAAACATATCAAGGATTCTCCTTTAAATCAATTTTATAGAATACAAACCTTATCTTCAGCAATGATATCTCTGATGAAGTGATACTTCACATCAATGTGCTTTGTTCTGTCGTGATGTCTTTGGTCTTTAGTCAAGTATATCGCAATTTGACTGTCACAATGAATAAAAGTAGTACTCTGATGTAGACTGAGCTCGCCCAAAAGACCTTTTAACTATAAAGCTTCTTTAATTGTCTCTGTTACTACCATATATTCTGCCTCTGTAGTAGACAATGCCACAACTGGTTGTAAGAACGCTTTTCAGCTAACTGCACAACAGCCAATGCAAAATACATAGCTTGAGAGATATCTTCTTCGAGATCTCCAGCATAATCATAATCAACATATCCAACCAGAGAACTACTATTTCTTCCAAACTCCAAACATGCATTTGAAGTTCCTTGTATGTAACTCAGAATTCACTTCACAATCTACCAATTTGGTTTTCCAGAACAAGACATATATCTACTAACAACACTGACTACCTGCGAAATATTGAGACGGGTGTATACCATTGCGTACATAAGACTGCCGAATGCATTTGAATAAGGAACCTGTGCCATTTTTTCTTCCTCGTCAACTGATTGTGGTGACTGAGCAGTTGATAATAGAAAGTGGTTAACAAAAAAGACACTCACTGGTTTGGCATTATTCATGCCAAAACGCTCCAAGACCTTCTTAACATAGCTTTCTTGAGTCATGACCAGTCTTCTCTGTCCAAGATCACGTTGGATATTCATGCCAAAAAATTTCTTCACTGCTCCCAAATCCTTCATTTCAAATTCACTACTAAGTTGTAACTTCAAAGATTGAATTTTGGACATATTCTTGAGCATATCATCAACATACAACAATAAACAGATACGAGTACCACTGGCTAACTTCCAAAAATAAACACAACTATCATAAGTACTCCTCAAATATCCACTACTCAACATAAAAGAGTTAAACCTCTTATATCACTGCCTCAGATATTGCTTCAATCCATATAAGAATTTCTTCAACAAACAAACATGGCCTTTCTCTCCTCTGATTTCAAAACCCTGGGGTTGCTTTATATAAATATTCTCTTCAAGTTCCCCATGCAGAAATGTTGTCTTAACATCCATCTGTTCTAACTCCAAATCCTCAATGCCAACCAAAGCAAGCAAAAAACGAATAGAGCTATGTTTGACAACATGTGAGAAAATATCATTAAAATCAATACCTTGCACCTGACTATAGCCCTTTGCAACCAACCGTGCTTTATATCTTACTTTATCACCTCCTGGAATACCTTTTTTTTTTTCTTGAAAACCCATTTGCTTCCAATAATTATCTTATCTTGCGGTGGTTTCACAAGAACCCAAGTATTATTCTTGTGGAGAGACTCGATCTCTTCATTCTTTGCTGCTATCCACTTAATAGAATCATTACGCTAAATTGCGTCTGAATATGTTGATGGCTCACTGTCTCCACCTATTTCTTCTGCAACAGATAGCGCATATGCAACAAAGTCTGTATACTGCTGTGGAGGTCGAGTGTCCCTGCGATGTCTTCCAGTGGCTATGGAATATGGCTCTTCGTATGAACTTTCAATATAAACTGATGTCTGCTGAACAGAAGAGTTTCGCTAAGGAGTGCTAGACAACCAATTTCAAATTCTATATGCTTCTGTGTATTCTCACTTAAACTCAAAGACTCCTTGTTAGAAAACATAGCCATTTCATCGAACGTAACATCTCTACTGATTGCAAACTTTGAAGATTTAGGATCAGGACACCATAATCTATATCCTTTCACTGCAGAAGCATAACCAAGGAAAATGCATTTCTTAGCCCTAGGCTCCAATTTTCCTTCATTTACATGCATATACGCGGAACACCCAAAAATCTTTAGATTTATTCAATCAGCAAGAGTACATGACAAACTTCTTCAGGAGTTTTGAAGTTGAGAGCAGAATTTGGAGAGTGGTTGACAATGTAGGCAACCATGTTGATTGCTTCAGCCCAAAAATCCTTAGTCAATCCTGTATTGGAGATCATATATCTTGCCCTTTCCAAGAGCGTTCTATTTATGCGTTCAACGACGCCATTTTGTTGAGGTGTCATCCTGACTGTGCGATACCGAACAATTCCCTATTTCTTGCAAAACTCAATGAACTCCCATCCGCAAAATTCTAAGCCATTATCGGTTCTCAACCGGTTGATTTTTTTTCTTGTTTGTTTTTCAATCAAAATTTTCCACTTGAAAGTTAGAAAAATATCATTCTTATTCTTAAAAAAATATACCCAAACCTTTCTTGAGTAGTCATCAATAAAAGTCAGCATATACCTGGCACCACATTTAGATGTAACACAAGATGGACCCCAAAGATCATAGTTGGATATAGTCAAGTGTACCTTTCGTCTTGTGAGTTGTTGGTGACTTGAAACTCACTCTTTTCTGCTTTCCAAATATGCAATGCTCACAAAACTTCAATGATCCAATACTTTGTCCACAAGGAAGTCCTCTCCTGCTTAAGATTCCTAAGCCTTTTTCATTCATATGCCCCAAACGCATATGCCATAACTTAATAATGTCAGATTTAGCCAAAGAGGATGCTGAAACAACTACATGCCCTGTAACAGTCGTCCCTTGCAAAGTATTCAAGCTGCTAGATCGGATACCTTTCATAATCATGAGAGCACCTTTGAAAATCTTTAAAACACCATTTGGACTAGTATACCTGCAACCAAGTGCCTCAAGTGTTCCCAAAGAGATTAGATTCTTTTTAAGATCAGGGACATGCCTAACATTAGTAAGTTTCCTCACAATGCCATCGTGCATCTTGATACGAACATTGCCCTTACCCACAACATTGCAAACAATGTTGTTGCCCATTAAGACAGTTCCTCAGTTGCTTAAATCATAAGTAGCAAACAAATCCCTATTGGAACACATGTGGTAAGAGCATCATGTATCTAAAATTCACTTATCTGTAGATTGCATTCTATCATGAGTGACAAGAACAACACTACCCTCGCTATCATCAACAGCAACGCTAGCTTCAGCTGTGTTATCTTTCTTTTCAATTGATATTCCCTTTTGCTTATTTTTCAATTTAAAGCAACTAACTTTAATGTTCTCCATCTTATGATAATAGTTAAACTCCATATTTCGATGTCTAGATTTCTATCTAAATTTACTATTGTCATAGTTTCCCTTATTCAATCTCCCTCTAGCAACTAGGCTCTCAGCATAAACCCCAATATTTTCTCCAGTGATATCTCTATCTATCTACTCTTTAGATTTCAAAGCAGACTTGATTTCTTAATATGAGATAAATCATTTTCCATAAATCATAGTATCCCAAAAATTCTTAAAAGATTGGGGTAATGAGCACAAAAGTAGCAATGTATTATCCTCATCATCTATCTTAACATCAATATTTTCCAAATTCATAATAATTGAATCAAAATTATCAAGATAGTAGAGTAATGAAGTACCTTCCACCATTTGAAGCATATAAAGACTTTGTTTAAGGTACAGACGATTCTCAATAGACTTCTTCATGTACAAAGCCTTAAGCTTATCACATTGCCTTAGCCGAAGTTTCCGTAGCAACCTCCCGCAAAACCTCATCAGAGAGATTTAAGATAATAGTCGAACAAGCCTTCTTATCCAACTCCAAAAATTTAGACTTCTCCATATCCTTAGGCAATTTTTCAATACCCTAGATAGCCAAGTCAACTTCACCTTGGGCCAAAATAGCCTCCAGATTGAGCTGCCACATCCAAAAGTTAACATTTCTGTCAAACTTCTCCACTACCGTCCTTGTGATTGTCATTGTGTGGTAACAAAATATTCCCACAAATGAAACAAAGGCTCTTAAACCAATTTGTTAGGATTATGGACCCAAACAAATATTTGCAGTACCTTAACAATGACAAAAA